TGCATTAGATTAAGCTTTCATTGTTTGCGCAGGTTATTTACATGAGTGACAGCCAACATCGACTTATTTGGCGTTTCTTATTGTCAACCAAATAATCAACCGTCTAATTCTAAATCCTATTTCCAATATGCAATCACCAAAGTTGAATTTGGAATGGGAAGAAGATTCAGAAGTGAGCACCCGAGCTGCTTCTGACATGGCTGTACCTGAAGCAACCCCTAATCCCTCGAAGGACAGTAGTAGTACCTCCTGCCTCACCAACTCGATAAAAGGTAATACCAATCAAGGTTTGGTTTCTGTTGACTTGACACTTCATTTCAACCCAAATGATGTCGACGCAAATGGTAGTGGTGAGACTAGTAGTGAAGCAGTTGGCCATGTTTCTGGCCCAACAAACCCCAGGATGTTCTCTTGCAATTACTGTCGACGTAAATTCTTCAGCTCTCAGGCCTTGGGTGGCCACCAGAATGCTCATAAAAGGGAGAGGACAATGGCAAAGCGAGCGATGCGGATGAGTATGTTCTCTAATAGATATACTAGCTTGGCTTCACTTCCACTTCATGGTTCTGCATATCGGTCGCTCGAGATCGAAGCTCATGCTGCAGTGCACCATAAAATCTTACCTGCACAACGGCCATTTATTGCTAGAAATGGAGTCACGTTTGATGAAGGGTACATTGGAATGCCATTTTTTATGGAAGATGAGGATGTTGCTCCATTTTGGCCTGGGAGTTTCCGACGAGTAAACGAGAGATCTACTGGTTCTATGCCTCGGGAAGTATCTCAAGTTCCAAGTCCAAAATCTGGTACGAGCATGGCACCGCCGAAAATGAGTTGTTCGCCCGATCTTACTTTAAGACTCTAAGCTTTTTCTGGTTTTGTTGCCTTGTTTCTAAATATTTTCCCCATATTGGTAATTATGTAGAGTGAGGTGCGGTGCAAGCTTTTTATTAAGTCATATATGTAATTCTTCTCCGTCTACCATAACTTGACATCTTAAGGAACACTCTTATTTGGATGGATGTGGTGTTAGTTGATTCATATATGATTAACCTTAACCTTTTTGGAAGGATGAGGTTTATATATATATTTTAGAGAGAGAGAGAGAGAGAGAGGAAAGAAGTAGAAAATTGTCGTAGAAATGAACTGAATTAGAGGGAAGAATCCGACGTCCTTGTCCCAATACATTCCAAATGGAAAAGCGTGGAAAGAGAATGACTTTGTGATAGTTCCAAGTCAATTGAGGGTCTTCCCGCGCTTCCTTGGCAGAGGGTTTTCCTCTACAATTCCATTTCACTCTTCACCAACACAAAGATTCACAACTTGTATAAATTTGTGATATGGCTTCTCATATCTTCATTCTCACAAACCTCTCCATCTCTCTCTCTCGTTTCATTTCTATAAACCACTTTTTTCTCTCTACAAAATGGAAGGAGGAGAAAGTTGTAGAAGCCACAAAGCAAATAGTGCCAAGGACTCCAATGGTCTCATTGATGTTTTGTTTTCTTGGGAGTTGAGAAATGTGTTCAATCAAAACTTGTATAAACTCAAGGTATGTCTATCTGTTTTTCCTAAAATTCTTGCCTTCCTCTCCTATGCATGTTCACTCATCACAATTCACATTTCTTCCAACGTTTCCATATGTTTATCAGTTCAGGTGAGTTAACATTTCCACTATATAAAGAGTCGCTTTTATAGATTCTTCTATTACTATTTATTTTCGTATTGATGGCTACCTAATACTGTTTATATATATTTTCTGTTTCATGGATATGCATATGAAGTACGAGAGATATCATTCCATTTTCAATGAATATATTGACATATTAGTGGATATTTTAATGAGATTAAATAACTAAGGCCCAATTGTACAAAAATGTTCAGGTGGGGAATATTCCAAAATCATTTGAATCAGAGGAACACTACAGAGGCTCATACTTGTTCCCTTTGTTTGAAGAAACAAGGGCAGAGTTGTGCTCAAGTTTGAAGGCAATTCACAAAGCACCTTCTGCTCAAGTGGTTTCCATTGAAGAGTCAAACACAAAAAGAGGCAAAATCTTGTTCAATGTGAATGTTAGCCCTTGGAGAAGCACTGATGGGAAGGGGCAGCAGCCGTACAAAGCACTTCCAGGCGATATTTTTATAATCTTGGACTCTGATCCTCAAACTACCGATAGTGATTATTTGGAACGCTCAGAATTCAACTGGGCATTTGCTTGGTTGGGACAAATCACCGACAATAGTATCCCTACTCATCTCAAGCTTCATGTTTCTAAAAACATCACAGCTCAAGGTGACATCCTCAAATCAACAACATTTTTCATTGTTTTTCTGATGAATGTGACAACCAACTTGAGAATATGGAAGGCGTTACAATGTTCTGCTGGTGGGGGCATCATTGAGCGTGTTTTGGGCACAACGTGGCTGGTATGTTTTCTATATATATTTGATGCTAAGATTTTTCTTGATAACGATTTTGAATTTAGTATTACTTTTGAAATGGTACAAAGTTAAGTCTCCATTATAATATTTATAAACCTAGCTCTTATTGTGTGAAGTTTTTGAAGTGGATTGTTTTGTAATATGTCAGGGAAACCATCAAAGCTGCACAGAATGCACTCAAAATGATAAAGAAGATCCCACGCAAGATTACCCAACACCACACCTATCTTCATTGAATGAATCCCAAAAAGTTGCAATACAAACTTGTATCGAAAATACTCTCTGCCAACACAAGCCTTCAATAGACCTTATATGGGGCCCACCCGGAACAGGTAAAACCAAAACTACGAGTATATTACTTTGGAGAATCTTAACAATGAAGCACCAAATTAGGACTCTTGCTTGTTCGCCCACAAATGTTGCCATAACAAATCTTGCCTCACAAGTTGTGAAGTTGCTAAAAGACGAGTCTTTTCGTAAAGACCACATCTTTTGCCCTTTGGGACAATTGCTTTTATTTGGGAACAAAGATAGACTTAAAGTTGATTCTCAGCTGGAAGAGATTTATGTGGAGCATAGAGTTGAAAAACTTATCAAGTGTTTAGGTCCAAATGGCTGGAAGTTTCAAATAACATCCATGATAGAGATTCTACAAGGAAGCAAATTTCCAAGATTGAAGAGAATGTTCAAATCCATTGCTTCATCACTTTTAGAATGTGTTCACATTTTAACCACTCACGTCCCTCAAGAAGTCATTATGGAGCATAATTTGAAAAAAATGGAGATTCTTGTTGAGTTGATTGGTGATATTGGGACCCTTCTGAGTGAAGATGATGATAAAGTGAGAGGAACTTTGATTGGTTTGAAGGGTCAATGTGTTTTGGTTTTGCAGACTCTTTTGATGTCTCTTGATCAGGTTGAAGTTCCAAGTAAAGTAAGCAGAAACTCAATCGAGAAGTTTTGTTTTCAGCAAGCTTCTTTGATATTTAGCACAGCTTCAAACTCTTTCAAGTTGAAGAATGTGAAAAAGAATTCACTCAACTTGTTAGTTGTTGATGAAGCTGCTCAATTGAAGGAATGTGAATCACTCATACCTTTGCAACTTCCTGATATAAGGCATGCTATTCTTATTGGCGATGAGTTCCAATTACCAGCAACAGTAAGCAGCAAGGTAATTTATGGTTATCTTATCTTCTTCCTTCTTTGCTCTAACATGAAACACAATTGTTGATTGGCTTTAATTTTGATCAAACCCAATCCTTTCTGTATTAGGTTTCTGAGGCAGCTGGATTTGGTACAAGTCTTTTTGAGAGGCTTAGTGTCTTAGGACACTTCAAGCACCTATTGAACACACAATATAGGATGCATCCGTCTGTGAGCCACTTCCCAAATTCCAAATTCTATGGCAATCAAATTCTGGATGCTTCCATTGTTATGAATAAGCAGCTGTACGAAGAACATTACCTTCCTAGTCCTCTGTTCGGTCCATATTCTTTCATCGATGTTTCTGGTGGACAAGAGGAGAGCAATGATGATGGACAAAGCAAGAAGAACATGTTTGAGGTAGTTGTTGTGGCCCAAATAATACAAATGCTTTACAAAGGTATTGCCAATTTATATTTTTAACATTTTCAATGTTTTGTCTTGCTCACTAAATATCTTGTCACCTACACTTATGTTTTAAAACAAAACAATGGAGACTAAGATATATATTCGAGCGAGAATTTTAAAATATAAAGTATGGTCGTCATTCAAATACAGCATGGTCCAACAAGAAGAAGGATATTAGCATTGGGGTGATATCTCCTTACGCTGCACAAGTTTCATCAATCCAACACAAACTTGGAAGAAAATATGAGAAGGAAGGTTTTACTATAAAAGTGAAGTCTGTTGATGGATTCCAAGGTGGCGAAGAGGATGTGATTATAATATCTACAGTTAGATCCAACCGTGGAAACAACATTGGATTCCTCTCAAGCTCACAAAGAACCAATGTTGCTCTCACGAGAGCTAGGTATAATCTTCTTATTCATTGAGTCAAGTTTAGACATTATTTAGGCCTGACCCAATTGTTTCTATTGTAAATTTTTTCAAGCAATGAACCCAACATGACTTGACTTAACCATAAAATATTTCGGTTAAGTTAGCAAGCTTATAATTTGGAGACTCAACTTGTAATATTTTTTGTCCAGGCATTGTCTTTGGATTGTGGGAGATGCAACAACCTTAGGAAAAAGTAATTCAGAATGGAGAGAAGTTATTAAGGACGCCAAGTCTCGCCAATGCTTCTTTAATGTTGAAGAGGACGAAGAGTTGGGAGATGCAATGAAAATGATGAAGACTTGGCAAATGTCTGATATCAACCAAGAGATTCTCAAACTTGACAATATTTACAACAGTGGTCACAAGAAGAAATCGGATGGGGTTTGATTGCTCTTACACACTTCAATTGTTATTAGAGTGATATGTTTATGAACTTTCAATTAATACGCCTCGTTTAGTTCTGGGGTTTGGCTTATAAGTCATTTTCCAATATTAATTAATAGGGCAGCGATATCTTGAATATATTCAATAAGTTAATTAGATCAGTTATCACAGCAACTCAACTAAATACTTCCCCCACGTTAGGAATAGCCATGCATTATCATTTAACTCCTTCGACCCTTTCCCCTCTTGTTGTTCTTTGACTTCCCTTTCCCTTTCCCCTTCCCATTCCCACTCCCTTTCCCTTTCCCTTTCCCTTTCTTATCCAAAACAGCCTCAGCTTTTCCTCCTTTACAATCTGATCATCTATCCACCTCTGATCCACTTCCACGTCAAGATCATCGTGTAGTAGTAGTAGTAGTTTGCTCAACATAGGCTCCAACTCCATCCTCCTCGAATATACGCTCTTTGATATTGATACCACTTGGGATAGATTTTCATGGGATCGCTGACATCAAATTCGTTTGGCAACAGACTGTTAGCACCATGATAGAAGAAGCAAAACAAGATTATGAACAGAATGTAAACAGTTTGATACCTCATGCTTAAAGCAGTAGATAGTAAATTTAATTCCATAACCAACCCATCCACTACTTCAAAACGAATCTCCTCATCCGCTTTGCTTCTTGCGGCACTTAAATGCGTAACCCATCTCTCCACATCCATCTGCAACAATAAGCCACGCAAAAGGGATATGTTGTTTTCAATTACATGCTTCATCTGATGTCAAAACACAACGACATGAGCGTTAATGTTACCTTGATTTGAAAGGCGTTTGACAGATTGCTCTTCTCCTCCATTTCATTCTCCAACATTCTCAATGCTTCAAACATTTCCCAAAAACCAACAGACTTGGGTGAATATCCATCATTTTCACTATTATTAGATTTCATCCTCTTGTTTTCATCCAAAGCCAAGCTAGAAGAGGATGGAATAGCCATGCATCCCACTTTCGATGCTACCATTTTGCTGGTTGTTATACCAACATCTTGCCCTTTGGGAGCTTCGGCTCGACCTTGCGAACTTTCAACTTCCTTTGGGAATAAAGCCTTCAGTACATCATCCATACAACGACTGACATTCAAGTTGATAGTAGTTGCATCTCTCTAAGTGAGTTGTGGGAAATTTCCATCCAAACTCACAATAACCATTGGGTTTCCAATTCCCTTGACGAATCCGGCAATCATATTTAAGTTATCAGTTGGTACATAAAAACTTTTGTTTCCCTTAAGCCCATTGCAAAATTCCGTGGGTAAATGCCAAAGTTCAGATGAAAAGTTGCGACCAAGCAGATTGCGGAGTACATCGAAGCAAATGCCAAAGTTCAGATGAAGCAAACATGTGACAACCACCAACCTCCTTACCAGTATCGGATAGCAGTTCAAGTTTGTATGTGTCTTCCTCAACCACTCCATTGTTGCTCTCCTGTCGAAAAGAAGTTCCTGATGAATTTGAGCCAAAAACAAAAGCGTCGGTTGAAAAGAATGTTGTGTTTGAGCTCCCAACATGGAAATTATATCGGAATTTCCTTCATGGAAGATGAGCCATTCAACAAAAGAGGAATTTGTAGTGATAAGGTATCCCCCTTTCATGAATGATACCATAATCAGAAGCCTTTCGACCAGGTACATGAAACAGAAAGGCGAAATATAATCCCGCATGTGGACCCAGTTCGTATTGTACGTGTCCCTCAGAGCTTCATGAAACCTCCACACGAGATATCTCTTTTGCGGGGTTCCTCCTTGCTTCATTCTCTGCACTCCTACTGTTGCAAAGCTCTTGAATGAATGCACTCCAAGGAGGATTCTCCTTTGACCATTCTGCTATTTGTTCACACAACTTCTTATCGAGTTTGCCAGATCCAAGAATAAGCATTGCAACCCTTCCAACTCGGCCATAAGTTAGTTGATTCTGTAAGCTAACCTCCTCGGCCACAATTTCATTCATCATATTACGATAAACCCCAGTAACTCGTAGAGATATCACACTCTCCTTCAAAGAAACTACACAATCTGGTGGAAATAAATGACTTTGGATTTCCGATATTGCCACTTACAGAATCTCTCTAACTTCTGTTTATCATGGTATCTATGTTCCAAATATGGGCTATCTAGAAGGAGTTTTGCAACCTCAAACATGTGAGTGAGAAGCCTACACCGGCTGAATGTCAAGAAACCGATACGGTTGGAGAATTTATAAAGGTGATCTAGATTTTCTAAAACCTCGAGTCCAGAAGAAAACAGTTCTAAGCTCCAATAGTTCCTGGCAGATGATGAAAATTGGGTAACATCAATGGACACCGATTTACCGTTCCTATGAACGAACCTTTCATCAACTTTTTTGGCCCAATCAGCATCAGAGTTGAGCAATACGTGTCTGTTGTTCAGTCTCCAAACACCAAAGAAATTTAAACAGAACTCGCCGTAAGGGTCCGCATCATTCACACCAACACACCTAAGACTCTCGAGAACATTCAAAATTCTATCCTTCCAGCAATGCCAAAAGTAAACCAAAGTTTCAACGGACACCTGATTCTTTGAAACCATTTCTTCTGGATGCTTGGTCAGATCAGAAACCAATTCACCTTCCCAAGTGTATTTTGATTTGTTCAAATGCATATGGGCATCCAGAATCTTTCTAACACATATCATTTCTCCACGAACACTGTCGTGGTTCCTAGAAGCAGTTAGACATCCTGTCAGAGCTCCCATGTTTCCATTTTCATCAGACAAAATATCAGCCTCTATACAAATGCAGTCGTATAATTCGTTAGAGTCATTTTCCGCTAAAAACCTGGCCTTTTTCAAAAGATCCTTCTTTCCTTCAAAATTTTTCAAGGGCCATCCTTTGCTTCCTGGTGACCAAAGAGAGTTGGCAAGGACGTAGCGTACAAGAAGCGTGGATGCCTCACTAAAATTTCCTGCCTTGCCATGAAGATCAGCCACATGAACCAGATCAGCTTTTGACTCTGCAATCTTTACAGCTTCCAAAAAATTTCCCAGCTCTTCTTCCAACACAAGAAGCTCATCGAGGCAATTCAAGGACTTCAAGAAGTTACGCATCAAATCTACGGATCGAAAACTTTTAACAGATTTCATCATGGATCTACTGTCCCCGCAGTTGTGAAAATGAAGAGCACATTTTTGTACGAATTCTTGTTCAAGGTCCTCTATTTCCTTACTTCTGGATGCATGGTGTTCGAGTCCGGCATCTTGTTTCCAGGATAAAATGTAATGCAAACCAACGTCAAACAATTTTCCTTTAGAGCAAGTATTCAAGCACGCAGAACAACAATTTGCCCTGGCAAATAAATCAGCAGCACGGTTGTAGCACTTTGCTAGAAGAAAACACTCTCCTGCTCTCTAGCTGCCCACATTTCTCCTCAAAAATTGCCCCTGCAGGAATCACATTTCACAACGTTCTAATTACTACTTATATCCCTAAAACAATCATTACGAAAACATAGGGGGAAAGGGAAAGGACATCATCAAAGATTGAATTCTAAAACCAAATATTCTGACCAACATCTCCAGCAAGGAGAAAAAAAGCAATAAACACTCTGCTTTGCTCGTATTACAGGAGTAGATGAAACTTGGAAGGACATCAAACAAACAGGTTTAAACCCAATACAGGAAACAAAGAAAACAAGGAATTGTACTTACCTCCCCTTTCAAACTCCCCTATATCGAAAAAGCATTGGGCAGCAGTATCAGCCTTCCCAATTGCTTCAAATATTTCAGCTGCTTCTCTAAGGATTGCCTTTGCTTCCACAGGCTTTGCATTGTGGATCTGTTCTGCAAAAGCTCTAAGACCAGAGGCCTTGGATCTTCTTTCCCAATAAGCATCTTCAGCCTTTTCAAAACACATTGTTTCCATTTTGTAGTTGCCCTCATGATATAGCCGTGTAAGAGATGGAAGAATTAGACTTTGGGCAAGGATAAAATCTATATACATCCTTCATAACCTCCTGCAAAGAAAACTAGCATGCCTCTGATAGAAAATGGAATAAAATGAAGAGAATCAATACTAAGAAATTCTAAAAACAGTAACCAACAACAAAAGCTGAGTCAAAGAACTAGAATTGGATGACATCCCAACCTTGAGCCCTTGTGATCTCCAGTCCTCCTTACTGCATGAGGCTAGCATGGATTGAGCAAGGGAATCATTCAACTGTTGAACTTGCACCACACACTTTTTCTTCCAATACTCAAACAGAGGTTCAGAATGCTCTTTTGTATCCTCACAAAACCAGTCTCTGCCTTGTGTGAGTCACCGCAACGTACAATCGCTTCAGCTCAGAGCACAAAATGTTATGTTTTGACGTACTAAATTGTGGGATGGAGTGAGGCAGGGGAGTCAAGCATGTCCAGTTCCTCCATATATTTGTAAATAACCCTCCACTTATTTTTCAAAGGCGAGGAACCGAAAAAATTGTATAATAGCACATCCTACAGATACATGTAGGAAATTAGAATAGTGAGGGCGCTACAACGTTGCTAATTTTTCAGGTATGTTAAAAGAAACCCCATCTGATCATCTAATAGTAAAATATAAAAGAAGTTTTTACCTGAAACTCAAACCCCTTGCACTCCACTATAGTAAGAACAAGTGCCTTCTTTCCAACAATGTTCAAGATCTCTTTCTGGGCAGATTCATCGCGTACCAATATTACCTGCTCAGCTCCAAACCCTTCCATACAACTGCTGCCAACACTACTTCTATTTCCAAATATCAATTTTATTGCATTTTCATTGTTTCCACATTCAAGCAGCACTGGGGATTCTCCAGCAATGAGGCTCGTCTCTGGTTTCAAAATGTCAATGGATTGTGGGAAAAAATGATAGAGAAGATCAATTACGCTCTGCGATAGATTTAGAACTCCGGAATGGGTTCGGAAATTTTGAGTTAGATAAAAAAATCTCCAAGATGCATCCTTTATCTTTTCTTTCACAACCTCCACTAATCATCTTTGGTTGCACAATTTTTTTGTAAAACAAAGACCTTATATCCTGGAACCTAAAATCAATCCCCCTTGCAATGGTCTGAGCTGTGTCACCTGAAAACACGAACCCCTCTTCAACATTTCTGCACACATAACTGAAAAGAGCAATTTGAGTCATGCTCAAATCCTGCACTTCATCAATGTAAATAAAATCCATTTTGTCACCCTCATATCCTTGACTTCTAAGGCGACGATGCAAATCCATAACAAAGTCACCCAAATCGAACTCTCTGTTATTCATCTTCATTTTTTCGTAACTTTGGAAGATATCATAAATGATCTCTCTCTCCACCCTACTTAAGCTGGATGTTCGGCCCTCACACAGTAGAACATAATCTTGTTTACTTAGTTTACCATCACCTGCATCAATGGCTCGAGGATCACCTTTTATATGTGAAATAATCTCAGTGAAAACTCTACAACAGACTAGCCTTTTCGTTAGTTGTGCATTGAAATGGGGCCAATAAGAAGAACTAAAACGATCATAGTTAACTTTGTTCTTCCGGATAAAAGATTGCAAGGCAACAGACCTTGAACCGCGAGTTTGAGCATATAACATATGTCTTGCATCACAAAATCTCTCAAAATACGGATCGCGCAAAGTTCCATCCAGCATCATCAAGAACTTGTAGAAAGTTGTCGCAAGAGGATATGAGTTGGTTGGAATATTGGTTAAGGAATCTGGGACATCCATGAATTCAGTTTCTAAGTCATCCACATTTTCCATATTAAAATCAGCCTTTCGCTTAGAATCCCCACCACGAGCATAGCTGTAAATAAAGGAGCAAATTGCATTAAATTCAATAAAGCATAGTCAAGACCAAACATAAATTATAGTTTATAAATCAAATTAAATATTGAAAAGGTGGGGGACCTTTTCAAGTGAGATACATGCTGCCTAACAGCATAACAAAGTTTTGGACTAACTGTGAGGAAAAACTGCCGCAAAACAGCTTCATTTTTCTGTATTGTACTCATTGAAATCTCACTTTTTGTAGTAACATCATCTTCGACGCCATATGGTCCTGCTGCCAAATAATGCAACTTCTCCTTCTGATATAACTTCATGGTCAATACAGTAGTTTTCCCAGTTCCAGAGCGTCCAAGTATGAAACTGCTCCTGGGATAAAGAATAATCCCTAGTTCTTCCTCTGTCACTTCAAATGGGAGATCCAACTCAACGTCATCTCTATCAGAAAGCAAATGACTTAGCACACCAGATGTTAAGGAGTAAAATTTCATCAGTAACAAACTATCTTTGACTTTCGAATTCGCAACATAACTTCTCCCACCATAATCAACGCCTCGTAAGTCATCCCTATTAGAATTGTCAGTATTTCTCTTGTACCGTACAAGCTCTGATAAGAATGCCCAAGTCTTGGGAACCTCCAAAAAATCCCTTAACAATAAAGGAAAATTCAAAACGATAAGAGACCATTTGGAAGTAAAGCAAAAGATTTAAATCAGAATATATAAAATCTTTTTCCTAATCACCACCACACACTCACTCATCATAGCATATCTCTTGACAAAGATTGATGTATTCATCAGTGTAGGAGCGGAATAGGTTGCCAAGATGTTTGACCAATTTTGAAATATCCTCCAACGGCAGCACATCCCAAATCCTTAAAACTTGCATGTACGCTGCCTCTTTCATTATATCAATGGCACAGATAACATAGAGGCATTCGACCTTGATTTTCTTCAAAATCCTCGTTGAACTTCCACATACCAGATTTAAGTCCCTCCTTTTGGGCCTCCATCCACCGGAAAGTTTGAGTAGAAGATTCAATATCTTCTTCTTCATCTCCATGGTTGAATTTCTTGAATGATTTCAAAAATCTATCACTGAATAGAACCTATGCATGTCAAACGAAGAAATTAAGAGATCGCTAGTAGAGCAAACAAAAATAAATAAAATGATGAGAAACTATGAGAGTCTTGAACCTTCCATCTAGCATTTCTGAAAAGAATACTGTCTCCTTTCAATAAATCATCAAGTTGATTGAATTCTTCCTTGATATCCAATATAGCTTTGGCCAAGTTCTCGTCATCGTCAGCATTAAAGAAACAACCACGATTCTTAGCATCACGAACCAAATGAGCCCAAGAGGACTCACTAATCGACAATGTTTTATCATTCCCTAATATCCATAGACAATATCTGATGCATACCAATGGGCAGTAAGTCTTCACCCAATATATGATAAGGAAAATATAGAATTACAAAGAAGAAGGGTAAGCAACAGTACCTAGCTCTTGTAAGAGCTACATTTTTCCTCTGATCACATGATAAGAATCCAAGTGAAGAACCTGTATTTGATCTAACAGTAGATATAATGATTATATCCTCTTCCCCACCTTGAAAGCCATCAACAGATTTCACCTTCACACTAAACCCATCAAGGTTATCGTATCTGTGTCCAAGTTTCTCTTCAATAGTGGTTACTTGAGCAGAATATGGTGATATAACACCAATGCTTAGATTCCCTTTTGAGTTTTTCCACTCTACAAAAAGAGTGATAAAAACAAAAATACAACGCTATATAATCTTCTGTATTCATAAGATAAAAAAGAAAAAAAAAAAAAGTTAAAAATTCCAGTCATGCTCTTCAAGCCAGTCAAAACAGAAGCTTTCAATACTGCTGTTCTATAGTCCCAAAAACAGTTTCCCTAGTACAAATTTTCACATAGTAATCTTTTTCTGATCTTTCTATAGTTTTTTTTCCCTAAATGTTGCTTCTCAACTACCTATCAATCAAAGAATTTTCTGTTAGAGATTCATTCAACATCTCTGTTGATTTCACAGGATTGCACATGTTTTTCAATGACAATTCACTAACATTATCACAAGAAAGAGGAATTATAACAACAGTGTAGCAAGAAACAATTTGATGAAAACGAAACTTGGAAAGCCTGATCGTACTTGAGACAAAACTCAATTGAAAAGAAAAAAAGAAAAAAGTGATAAAAGTTGCAGGAGAGTGAAGTAGACAAACCTTTATACAAACTTTGCACTATTTTCGAAGCAACAGCCACCTCGAGCATATTCTTTCGACTATGTCCAATATCATCTTTTCCTCTCTTCCATAACCTATGTTTATGAAAGAATAGGGCCCAAACATGGATTTAAAAAGATAGTTCATCTGATAGTTTAAACTCGTAACATTTGGACCATCTAAGATCTGACTAAAATAGAATTTTGAATTAGGAAATAAACTAATAGATGGATGCATTCTGTACTGCACATTCATAAGGTGTCTTGGGTGTCCCAAAGAGCTGAACCTCTCGAATAAACTTCTTCCAAAGCCAGCATCATCAGCAAGCTTTAAAAGAAAGGAGTAAAAAGGTCAGAACTCAAGTATATAAAACAGTAATTGTTGAGAAATAAAATATTGTACCTTGCTTTCAACCATTGCTGGTAATTGGCACTCGTCGCCTATGAGTACAACATGTTTGATATACGGAAGTCGTAATGCAATCAACGACTCGCACTCTTTTAGTTGTGCTTCTTCATCAATTACTAATACTTTGAAAGGGTCTATCGACATAGAATGTAACCTATACGAACTTGAAGCGGTGGAAAAGACCAAAGTCGCATTCTGAAAGAAAAAATGCTCAATTGACAGTCTGTATGTGACTTTTGGAAGCTTGAGTGCAGTTAAGGAGCAATGGAGAGATTTTAAAATAGAAAGGCAGTCACTTCTTGTCATGTTGAACAAACACGCAAAATCTGTACATGTATGAAGAGCTTCACCATCAATGGGACATGAAAAAACATCCTCAAGTGCTTCAGAATCAAGGGATTCTCGAGACAGTAAATCTTCAAAATAATCTAGTTTTTTAACAAGAGAAGTCACATCCTTAAAATCATGCTCCGAAAGGCATTTCCTAG